TACTCTCACCCAGGCTGGAGTGCAGTGGCATGATCATCGCTCACTGCATCCATGAACTCCAGGTCTCAAGCGATCCTCTCATCTCAGCTTCCTTAGTAAGTAGGACTGCCTTACTGGACAGTCGCTACCCTTTTGGCTTCTTAGACATATTTTTGTTTTTTCTTTTTCCTTAATGTAAGTGGATGGGAAAAATTGAAAAGTAGAATTTTATTAAGGGGAAGAAATAACTAACCCCCGCCCCCCACTTGACTGGAAGGGCACCGGTAAGACAGATGAGTGGACAGGTGTACCTTGAGCTTCTGCTTTTGGGATTTGAGTCACCCATTGTCCTGGCATCTCTGATGTGAATCCTGATGGAGTAGCCCTAAGAAGTCAAGTGGCTGCTACTGCAGCAGCCCTGGGGAGGATCCACTACCTGCACACCGAGGCTGGCTAACTGCATCCTCCCGTGGAACTGGGAGTGGCCAGGCCCAGTGGCTCAGCCTGTAATCCCAGCACTTTGGGAGGCCCAGGTGAGTGGAATGCCCGAGCCTGCGGGTTCAAGACCCACCCGGGCAACTTGGTGAGACCTCATCTCTACAATAAATCAAAAATGAGCCGGGCGTGGTAGCATCCACCTGTAGTTCCAGCTACTCGGAAGGCCGAGGCGGAAGGATCGCCCGGAACCCAGCAGGCCGAGGTTGCGGTGGCCAGGAGCTTGCCGCTGCTCTCCAGCCTGGGCGACAGAGTGAGACTCCAACTCAAAAAAAAAAAAGAAATGGTAGTGTGCTAGTGGACAGGTCCTGCTTCCTTACAGTTTTGTGTTCTGTGGTTTGCTGCCTGCAGCACAGTACAGTAAGATGCTTTGAAAGCGGGTGAGCGACCCCGTTCATGTGACTCTTATCGCTGCATGTTGCTGTAGTCGTTCTGTTATGAGTTATTGTTCGTCTCTTACTTTGCCTAGTGTATAAGTTGGCTGGTCATAAGTATGTGTGTCTGGGATTTGGTGCTGTCTATGGCTTCAGGCATCCACTGGGGGCTTTGGAATGTATTTCCTGTGGATAAGGAGGGGACTCCTACTGTGCCTGACAACCACTGGCTTGATGTAGAAAAACATGTTTTGTGTTTTGCACTGCTGCTAAAGCTATGGACTCAGGAAAACGTGTTGACTGAAAATTGTATTACTCTTCAAAGGGAAATATTGTCTGATTACAGAATTGCTGGAAACACCGTGTTTCGTGAATTTTGTGGTCCATGCAGTTTCCTACAGCTGATGTTTCAGTATGGGAAGAAAATTTCTGCTTCTCCTTCCCAGTTGTCAGTGGCTATGACATTCCGTCCTCATTGCTGTTAAGGTAGCAACTGTCACGTTCAGGTGAAAGCCTGCCATGCAATGAAATTAATCATCAATGAACAGATGAGCTTCAAGAATTGAGTGTCAGGGAACAGCACTGACGTGCCTTTGTAGTATTGAAGGTCAGTAACAGTGTTTCAAAAACTACTGATTAAAAACGTTTTAAGGGCATTTTTTTTTTTTTTTTTTTTTGAGTTGGAGTCTCACTCTGTCGCCCAGACTGGAGTGCAGCGGCCGCTTCCGGCCACCGCAGTCTCGACCTGCTGGGCTCCGGCGATCCTTCCGCCTCAGCCTTCCAAGTAGCCGGAATTACAGGCACGCGCTACCACGCCCGGCTGATTTTTTGATTTGTCGTAGAGATGAGGTCTCGCTGCCCAGGCGGGTCTCGAACCCGCGGGCTCAGGCAATCCACTCACCTCAGCCTCCCAAAGGCGCGGGATTACAGGCTGAGCCACCGAGCCCGGCTTAAGGGCATTTTTACAGTTCCTTTCTCAAGGGAAGCCAAGTATCATTTGTACCAGGCACTCTAGTGTGACTTGGGGTGCTTTACCTTCTGAGTGAGACCTTCCCCAGTGACCTAGAAGGACCTGAATAGCCATGGTCTGTCTTTCCTGCTGACCACTTGTACCAAGTGCAGTATCTCTGTGGGTACAGTGCCTAGTTGGGGACCTACTGCAGCCTTTCCTGTGATTTTCCACAGGGAAGAAGCTGAAGTACAACCAATCAGAAAAACAGTTGTTCACTCAGATTGAGGTGATAAGTGCAGTTTTGTTCTGTACTTCCACAGCTGTGATTAAAATGGAAATCTCTTATCAAGGAAAGTTTCACAGGAGTAAAACTTTTTCAAAAGCATTCTGTTGTTTAAGGAAAAGGCAACATGAGTTCACTGCCTATAGGATGCACAGAATGTTCTACTGCAAGGAAATTAACATTTTACTTTTTTTGTTTTAATCTTCTGATAGGATTTCTTTTCATCTCAATAGGCAAGCGTGTAATAAGATTTAAATATCACAAGCTATTACACAAATAGTATACTTGATAATTTACAAATTGACCAAAATGTAAATTGGTATTTGAAATTATAAAATGATATCTTTAAATGGTAATTATAGAATGGTATTTGAAAAAATTTTCTGCTTATTAAAAAAATTAATCAAATGTCCAAAACTGCTGACCATAGAGCATTCAACATTAAGCTTGCATGATTCCTTTCTAGCATGTGTGTGAGTTGAGTTATTACCATATTTAGATGTCCTGCTTATTTAACCTAACAGAGACTATAGCACTCAAGGCTATGTGGATCATGGCGGTAGTAGGTGGGTTAAAAGCGAGTTAGGTGAGGAGTGTGGCAGGCATGGCAGGCCGAGGGCCTGGGAGCGTGCTGTTGGGTCTGGTGGTACCCTTGCCCAGCAGTCTCTGCTTCACTGTGTGAGAGGAGTGGGCTGCTCTGACTGGTACCTGGGAGGGCGGGCCGCTTTTGGGAAGCCACGGATCTGTAAGGCCTTTTATTCTAGTCTTTGCCCTTTCCTTTTCCTGCTACACAAGGTTTGTCATGTCATCTGGAACAATACTTGAATGATACTTGGGAATTTGTATTTTTGTACAAATTTTAGAAATCTTTTTGTTGCTTTTTTTGCTTCTTCTCAGGAAGATAAGTTTTTTCTTCTTTTTTCTTAAAGTGGAGTCTCACTCTTGTCTCCCAGGCTAGAGTGCAGTGGCACGCTAATGGCCACTGCACCCCTTGACCTGCTGGGCCCTGGAAATCCTGCTTCAACCTTCTAAATAGCTGGAACTATAGGCATGCACTACCATGCCCAGCTAGTTTTTTTTTTATTGTAGAGATGAGGTCTCGCCAAGTTGCCCAGGCTGGTCTCGGAAGTCCTGGACTCAGTCAGACAATCCTTTTGCCTCTCAAAGTGCTGGGATTACAGACACAAGCTGCCACACCTGACTAGGAAGATGATTTTTAACTGCTGTGTTATGCTTGTATCATAATACAAACTCAGAAACAGCACTGTATCTGGACAAAAGTCCTTTTTTCATTCTACTAAACCTGCGTTTGTTTCAAAACCTTCTATTTTAAGGAAAGAATAAAAACATTGATAAGAAATATGCTGTCCTCTGACTGAAAAAATTTAGTGATGGACCTGGGCATTCATTTTGGTTATTAGAGTCCTTTTGTCCATTCTCCAATTACTTTCTTACTATTTATTTATTTGAAGTCTCACTGTCACCCAGGCTGGAGTACAGTGGCAGGTTCACAGCTACCACAGCCTCGACCTGCTGGCCTCAGTTGATTCTTCCATGTCAGCCTTCCAAGTAGCTGAAAATACAGGTACGGGCCACCATGCCTGGCTAGTTTTTTGATTTATTGTTGAATGAGGTCTTGCCAAATTGTCCAGGCTGATCTTGAACCCCTGGGCTCAGGTAGTCCTCTCACCCCAGCCTCCCAGAGTGCTGGGATTACAAGTGTGAAATACAGCGTCCAGCATTCTATTAAAAAATTTTTTTTGAGTCAGAGTCTCACTATGTTGCCCAGACTAGAGTGCAGTGGCATGATCACAGCTCACTGCAGCCTTAACCTCTCAGCTCAGGCAGACTTTCCGTCTTAGCCTCCTGAGTAGCTGACACTACAGGTGTGTGCCACCACACCCTGCTAATATTTTGATTTCTTTTCTGTAGAGACAAGGTCTTACTATGTTTCCTAGGCTGGTCTCAAACTGCTGGGCTCAAGCAGTCCTCTTGTCTTTGCCTCCTAAAGTGCTGGGACTACAGGCATGAGCCATCACACACAGTCCCTATTTATTTATTTTTTGATTAAAGTTACTGTGTAAATGCCTTCAATATGTATACTTATCTAGTAATATTGGTGCTACTATCTTGGTTTTTTTGGTCTACGTATCTATAGCAAAATGGGAAGAAAATTGGATATAAAGCTAACTACAGATTAAAAAATACATTTAATTGGGATGTCTAGTGATGGGAAAGAATGGGATGTCTTATTGATGATTGGAATCTCATTTATTTCATATCAAGAACAGAATTAGCCAGGCACAGTAGCTCACACTTGTAATCTCAGTACTTTGAAAGACTGAGGCAGAAGGATTGTTTGAGACCAGCCTGGGCAACATAGTGAGACCATGTGTCTACAAAAGCTCAAAATAAATTTAGCTGGGTGTGGTGGCACATGCCTGTAGTCCTGCCTACTTAGGAAGCTGAGGTAGGAGAATCTCCTGAGCCCAGGAGTTTGAGGCTACAGTGAACTGTGATTGTGCCACTGCTCTCCAGCCTGGATGACAGAATGAGACTCCCAACTTAAAAAAAAAAAAATGCTTTTTGAGGAAGGGGATAAAACAGTGAAAAGTAGATCAGATGAAAGTATATTCCTAAACATGTATGGAATGGTATTGGAAGTTTCTGCTAATGACCTGCTGCAACTTACGAGGCTGTGCCAACTTCCCCAGAGGAAAATGGAGGAATCTTATTTCTGGAGAGGTTTCCAGTTTTCATATTGGTAGTGGTACAAAACTTGGAGTTTGAATGAAAGGAAAAAGGACATGATATTTTTGTACTTGTTTTTTCCTATTTATATAGTTAGTGTATAATCACATTTACTTGTGTGAAATTTCTTGGTTTACCTTGTATGTGTATTTTCTCTTCCATCTAGAAAGATTTTTCGTTCAAGAAGAAATAATCCAGATAAGGAAGAACAAATCAAGATGTGTAGCTCTGTGGCTGCCAAGTTGTGGTTTTTGACAGATCGTCGCATCAGGGAAGACTATCCTCAAAAAGAGATCTTACGAGCTTTGAAGGCCAAGTGTTGTGAGGAGGAACTGGACTTTAGGGCTGTGGTGATGGATGAGGTGGTGTTGACAATTGAGCAGGGAAACCTTGGTAAGTCTGTATTAAGTGATCTTTGAGATTTTTACTTAGCTGTATTGAATCTGCATGTTTTATGAATAATTAGGACATAGAAATAGTTAGCCTTATCTCTGCTAAGTATCGCCTAATCATAGTGCCTAGTATTTTTATGGAAGAAATGGAAGCACTAATCTTTATTCACATCCTTATTATATTATTTAGGAAACAGTTGGGAAGGAAATTGAAGATGTCGTTCTAGTTTCTTCCGTTTTTACTATTTGTAGTTTTAAAATACCTTGCCTTCTCCTAAGGAAATTTGTGCCTTGGGGGAGGGTCCTGTAATAAACCAATCAGAATCCATGTGAGAGTCTTATTTTCCTTTTTTTAAAATAGTTTATACATGTAATATAAACTAATAAAGTTTTTCTTTTAGAAAAAGTATCCTAATGATTTGACTCGCATGCTGATAAATAGTTGTGGTGCTTCTAATATTTTGTATTTGTTTTTGGATTACAAGGGAAAGATATCCTGGAAAGGTATAGAAATTCCTTAGGCTACATCTGTTTCTTGGTGGCTCAGCCCGTAATCCCAGCACTTTGGGAGGCCGAGGCGAATGGATTGCCTGAGCCCATGGGTTTGAGACCAGCCTGGGCAACTTGACAAGACCTCATCTTTACAATAAATCAAAAAATTAACTGGGCGTGGTAGCACGTACCTGTAGTTCTGGCTACTCGGAAGGCTGAGACGGAAGGATCGCCGGAGCCCAGCAGTTTGACGCGGGGGGGTGCTGGGGTGGCTGTGAGTGTGCCTCTAGAGGCTCTCCAGCCTGGGCGACAGAGTGAGACTCCAACTCAAAAAAAAAAAAAAAAAAGACTTTAGTATAGATTTTCAAGAAACTAAATACTTGCTTTGGAAATTTTGGCTTGTTATAACTAAATTGGTCAATTTTGTTAGGGAACATTATATGATAATCACAGAAATGTAATTATTGATTGGTTTTCAGAAAATACTTTATACTTTAGGATTAGTGTAAATGCATTCTAGATCGTTTACTTACTTTGTGACTGGACTCATACTGAGGCCCCACGATTTAATTTCCTCATCAATAAAATGGAGTCAGATGGTTATTCTGAGAATTAATGGTATGCAAAGTACAATAAAGTCTCACTTTTATCTGTCGTTGTAGGATAATTTTATTCATAGGCTAGTTAATAGATATAGAGTTTTACCTGATTAATAAAATATTATTATAGGTTGAGCGTTCCAAACTTGAAAACCCAGAATCTTACATGTTGCAGTATCTAAAACTTTGAGTGCTGACATTATTCTCAGAGAAAATGCTCATTGGAACATTTCAGGTTTCTTATTTTCAGATTTGGGATGTTCAGCTGGTAAATATATAATGCAAATAATCCAGAAACCAAAAAAATATTCGAAATCCCAAACGCTTCTGGTACCAAGCATTTTGGGTGAGGAGATACTCAACCTGTATAGATTTAAGTAAGGAGCATCTCTTAGTAAACACTTTTTATTTTCAGCCTTTTTTTTTTTTTTTTAAGATTAGAAAATATAGTTTATTTAAAAGTGTAGAGAGAGAGAAGATTCATCTCCCCAAGGTGGGGGAGGGGACTAAAGCCGGGAAGCATGGTGACAGCCATAGCTCAAAGAGTACATGGCCACACTGGAGTCTAGCAAGGCAATGGCATATTTTCAGCCTTCTTAACATTTATTTCATCTACAGTACCTTTGAGCAGTTACTGTTGACATTTATATTTCATGTTGTTTCTTTTAAATGAGTAAGTACCTTTATGAGGGTGACACTTATATTTTGTTTACAGTTCAATTATCTTTTCAGTATATATGCCTGGATCCAATTCCTAGTTATTCAGATTTAGAAGATTTGGGATAGGCTGGACTTGGTGGCTCAGCCTGTAATGCTAGAGCTTTGGGAGACTGAGGTGAATGGATTGCCTGAGCCTGCGGGTTCAAGACCCGCCCGGGCAACTTGGCGCGAGATCTCATCTCTACAATAAATCGAAACTTAGCCGGGCGTGGTAGCGCATGCCAATAGTTCCAGTTACTTAGAAGGCTGAGTCGGAAGGATCACCAGAGCCCAGCAGGTCGAGGTTGCAGTGACCGGGAGTGTGCCGTTGCATTCCAGTCTGGGTGACGGAGTGAGACTCCAAGTCAAAAAAATAAAAATTAAAAAAAAAGATTTGGGATAGTCTATTTTATTCTTTCATTAAATATTATGTGAGCACTTACTGTGTGCTAGATAGTGTTATGATGTACAAAATAAGACATCTTCCCTATATACTAAAGGATAAGGTCAACATTAGTCAAATAATCATACAAATAAATCTAAAATTATTACAACTTTGGTAAGTTAGGAAGGAAAATAATGTCAGTTTTGACCCTTTCCACACCTGTGACAGAGACCATTGATCAAATCAACGTCTTTTCTCTAAAATCTGGTATCTGAAATGCTTTTTCAAATTACAACTTTTTCAGTGTAAGTGTATATACAGCTATTGTTGAAATTGGAGTCAGAGACTCAGACACTATATTGTATTGGAAATCATGCTCTTGAAATCTACATGACAAGAGACATGACAATGTAGAACGCTAAGTTCATTCAGCACAATTGCCCCAAGGCTTCTGGTGTGTTTTTCTGTGTTTTAAAAGTTGGAAAACCAAAGGCTACAGTCATGGTTCCATATGAAATCTAGTGTCTACCAAGTGAACACAAGATTTGGGAGGTGGAAATGACATCTCCCTCTCCCCTTCTCCCCCTCTCCCTCTCCCCCTCTTCTTCCCCTTTCTCTCACCCTCTCTTCCTGCCCCCCCCTCTTTTGAGGTGGAGTCTTACTCTGTTGCCCATGCTGGAGTGCAGTAACACAATCATAGCTACTGCAGCTTTGACCTGCGGGGTTTAGGCAATCTGTCTGCCGCAGCCTTCCAGGTATCTGGAACTACAGGTGTTTGGCAACACGCCTGGCTAGTTTTTTCATTTATTGTAGACGAAGTCTCATTGTCCAGGCTGGTCTTGAACTCCTGGGCTCAGACGATCTCCTCATCTCAGCCTCTCAAAGTGCTGGGATTACAGGCGTGAGCCACCGTGTCTGGGCAGACATCTCTATTTTTACAAAGTTCATAGGTTGAAAAAGATAAGATGTAGGATTGAAAACAATTATTCTTAATTTTTTTCTCAGTTGCCTAGTGGACATTTTCAGTTTGTTCTCAGCTGGCATTTCTAGGCTAGTCTGAAAATTGAACTTACTTTTTCTCCTAAAATAATTTTCTTATCTCAGCTTCTCTGTGTCTGTAATACTACCTTTCTCCCATTGACCTGGCCTACCTAGTGACTTTTTTTTTTAATCCATAAAAGCCAGTCTGCTATTGTATTTTGTTGCTTTTCCCTTTTAAGCTGTAACTGTTCTGTCTTCTCAATATCCTGGGTCAGGCTGTCATGACCTCAGATTTTAATGACTTCAGCAACCCTCTAACTCTGTTGTTTGCACTTATCTTTTCCTCTCTAGCCCATTCACATCTTAATTAAACAAAACTTTTATCATCATGATATTGTTTTAAAAATCTTCAGAAACTTGCTTTTCTTCTATATTTCCAATTTTTTAATTTTATTTTAAGACTTTTATTGATGCACCTCCTGTGTAATTCATGCAGTTCTAGGAGGTTTTTTGGGTTTTTTTTTGACATTTTTCATGTATTATTTAAATCCCATATCTTGTAGGAAAGGTAATAGAGACAAGCACAGCTAGGAAAGGTAATTTTACAGATGAGGCACTATCCTCTTTTCCAGAATTAAGTGGAAAATTTAAAGCAAAATTTCTGTTCTCAGGTATTGCCAGCTCTTTCTGCAGTGTGTGCTGCTGCTTCGTAGCTTGCCCAGCCTTGCTCCACATTAACTCTCACGCTGCCCTGTGGATCAGCATGTTCCCCATCATCTTGTCCCTCGGGTTCATCTTCGTTTCTTTGCTTGTGTATTTCCTTGCATCTGAATGTCTTCTTCCCTGGCCTTGTGACCCCCTCTGATGAAGTTTTACCAGACAGCTTTTGTCCAAAGTTTCAAAGCACTTAATACTTTTTTTTTCTTTGTTTTAAGTTGGAGGTCTCACTCTTTTACTCAGTTGGAATGCAGTGGCGTGATCATGGCTCACTGAAGCCTTGACCTTCTGGGTCTAGGCAGTCCTTCCACCTCAGCCTCCTGAGTTATCTGGGACTACGGGCACATACCATGACACATTAGTAATTTTTAAATTTTTAAAAAATGTTTTACTTTTTTTGCAGAGATGAGGTCTCCCCATGTTGTTCAGGCTGGTCTTGAACTCCTGGGCTCAAGCATTGAGTCCTTGTGCCTCAGCCTCCCAAGGTGCTGAGATTATAGGCATGAACCACTGTGCAGTGATGTAATCATAGCTCACCACAGCCTCTACTTCCTGTGCTAGAGTGATCCTTCCCTCCTTAGCTTCCTGAATAGCTGGAACTACAGGTGCACACGACCACACATGCCTGGCTTTTCTGTTATATGTAGAGACTGAATTTTGCTCAGTTGTCCAGTTTGGTCTTGAACTCCTGTGATCCTCCCACTTTGACCTCCCAAAGTGTTGGGATTCCAGGTGTGAGCCCTCACTCCTGGCCTCAAAGCACTTTATACTTATAGGACATAGCTAATCCTTAGTTATAGTCTTTTTGTCTAATTAATTTTAATTTTTGTCTTCTCAATATCAGAAACTAGGAGAATGTCATATATTTCGTGCTGTGTCTCAGCAAGATATGGAGCACACAGATTCTTGTGATCCTGTTTATTGATGGTTTTTGTTGTTGTTGTTGTTGTTGTTTGAGTGGGAGTCTTACTCTGTCACCCAGGCTGGAGGCCAGTGGCACACTCCTGGCCACCGCACCATCAACCTTCTGGGCTTAAGCGATCCTTCTACCTCAACCTTCCAAGTAGCTGGAACGACAGGCATGTGCCACCATGCCCAGCTAATTTTTTATTTATTTTAGAGATGAGG